AATTCTCTCAGCACACTAGATATTATCGAATACGCTCAATCTATACTCTTTTCATATGTAAGAAACCAATATTTCGTATCCACAGAAACAGCAGGTAAAATCTTAATTTTGTATATTTTAATCTTTATGGTTTCGTATATTCGATACAAATCTGGAAGACAAAAGCGATGAGACCGAGAATAAGGCTCTAAGAGTAATGTCTGGACCTGACAATGAAAGTTTCAGGAGGATTGAGAAAATTTAATATCAAGGAACGTCATAATTTGTGCTGTTTGTCATAATGCATTATCTGACACGTTCTAATTCAGCCACTTCTGTTCCTTTGTAATCAGACACTAATCCTTGACACTGATAGTATAATACGATACACATTACACAGCCATTATCACCCAGAAGTTTCAAGACTTTCAAAACTTTCGTCTTGTGTACAGACTTAAAGCGCTCTTAACCCTTAGAATCCAAAGTACAGCTAAGAATTCGGCCCGTACCGCGAAGTAAACACAACACTTCACCATTACAAAGATCAACTGGTTAATCCTTTAAAGCCGAAGCTAATTTAAATATTATTTAAGAGTTCGACGCGTACCGCGAAGAAAACACCGCACTTCACCATTACAAGTATCAACTGGTTAACGCTGTTTAAGGAAATAATCGCTGATTATACAGAGACGCGTACGAAACACATAAATACAGAATTAAGAGTTATTGATTGTTAAAGCAATTACCACTGAGTTATAAAAGATTAATTATGCATTATATAACATGGCTTTATATTAACCTTAAATTCCGAAAAAAAAAATGGTAAGCTGTTGGTTTACGATCCTTTCTTAACTGTTGTGATAACACTGTTATCTGTAGGACCTCAAATTATAGATTTTGCTGTAGGTATAAATAATACAAAATAATAAAAGTAACATACGATCAATTTTCACCTTACTTTTCATATAAGAATTATACAATTTCACAATCACATTTCTGCATATTTCACTTCCGTTGAACTAATTCTTATTGCAAGTTGTAAAATATATCCACACTACAACAAATCTGCGCTGTAATGTTTTCTGTTAATTTCCTCGGGATTTTATCATAATCTGGAGCGTCTACTTCAGTTCTGAACTCTGGCGTCTAACAACTTTTGAAACGGAAGCCTGTTATCGGTATTAGTTGTTACCACCAAAATGTTTATCAGTCATTGTTACTTTCTATATATGTAACTAGCACACCCTGAAGCCAAGGCGTTTAACGACGTTTCAGGAAGATGTAAACAGAAAGTTTCTCCTAAACGACGACATGTAACTACGTCGTTACAACCCAGTACAACAACATCGACATTTTCGCCACCGAGACAACTTTAATTCCTACTCATTTTACGTCTATTTAAAAGTAAACTGGCTAAGTCATCTCGTTTTTTTTTTATAACGGTGCTATGAAAAATAAATTTCATCTTTCAGAACAAAGATAGTAAGAAATGTCATTGAATAAATTTCGATAAACAAACAGAGTTCGTAAGTCTTTACAGTATGCACATATTCATACGCAGTTTAAACATCAAGCATTTTGAAGATGGCTGTTTTCTGGGGTGTTGGTGATAGCCCTGGTGATGGAGGGACAAAGCGTTGGTTAATTTGTGCTGGACAACACGGTTTAATATCCCAGAACACAGCCACCATCACACTCGTCGCCCAGAGAAACTGAAATATAATTAAGAATACCATTTACCTTTCACAGCCTTCTCGATTATCACAGTTTCTGATGCCACCTGTTGCTTTATAACACCATCACATGACAATCGCCGCCGAGGGTGTTACTGGCTACCGTACACACTGCACAGCTCTGCACACACTGAGTTTTGTCAGTCGGAATACAACGGATCAAGTACGCAGTGAGGGAGACGTTGCTAATGGTGGGGGAACTAGGGATATTTTGTGAATAGGAAGGCCGATGGATTCTAAGATAATTCGAGGATTTCACGGCGGTGAGTTCGAATATGTCTCCTGGGTTGTAGTGCCATGTAGTGTGGTAGAAGTTTACCAGCGTTTCAGAGGCCTTTGCTGCCTCCATCAACAGGGCGGTGAGCAAACCGTGCGTGTTTAGGCCCCCCCGTAAACAACCGTTTTCCTAATGACAACCCTAAATATATCAGAGAACTCACATGTCCGTTGTCTGTAACTTAAATTTAAAAAATCAGGGTACAGAGAATCTTGAAATTTCTTTATTACTGTAGTTTTTATAGGTTTTCGTGTATTATCTTTAGTTTAAATATTACGTTTATGATTTAGATTTATTGACATGTTAACAAAATAACAATATGGAATAGTTTTTTTTAAAAAAAACTGTTAGGCGCTCAATTAGTCAAGAAATTTTTGTTGCAATGCTCACAAAAGCTAATTATATGAATCCAATCGAAATAGTCGTATCCTTTTAAATCAATTTTAATATTATCCCACCAACTTACTCATAGGTCTTCCAAATAGTCTCTTCCCCTCAGGTTTTCTGACAAAAATTGTATTCCCTGCAGTAAGTTGGATGATTGGGGTTCAATTCCCAGCAGGGCAGAATTATTTTCATCAACACAACGTCCAGATAAACTCTGGGTTAACCCGGTCTCCTGTCCAATGGATGTTAGGGTCCTTTCCCCAGGAGTAAAGCTACCATAATGAGATGATAACCACTTATATTCATCTAGTAATGTTAGGAATGTGTGGAGCTATACTTCCACTCCCCCCACACGTCTGAATGACGCGTGCTTAATTGAGTACCAGGGACAGAAAATTTTACAAATTATGAAGATCTTCATTATGCTGATGTTTCTGACATTTCATAAACACTATTTATTTCTGAATCATAGAAAATTTGGTGGTCATTATCAAAAATACCTTCTTAAAAGTTATGTTGAAAAAAAAAGTTGACAGTTGAACCACGGTTCCGGAGAATCTGACGTAAATACGTCTCTGCAATCTAATGTAATAATTCTTATATAAGATAAGTACTTGTGATATTCTAAAACGTAAAATATTATCTACTCTACGACGCACTTCTCCTACAAGCGATTCACAACAAAGCTCTTTCCACAATAACGAAAGCGGATTGTTGACGGCAGTAATGTAACACAACAATGCCGAGTAAAACAGATGACGCAGGAGTTCATATAAAAGCTGACCATTGTTGTCGGTCCATATTTATACATTGTTGATATGGATCTTACACGTTTTCCTTACACATTTTCCTAATGTTGTTTTTGTCGAATTACCCTTCCGTATAGACGTATTTACGTCAAAAGACAATGGACTGTCAAATACAGGAAAAAATCATTTGTTGGCACAAACTAATGGTTTTATTTTATTTATTTAGTGTTCTGTCTGACGACAGGTCCATATGAACAGGATCCTTCCATCCTTTTCTCGGACTGGGACCTGTTCATATACGTTCTTGGCAGATGATCCAGAAGTGGTTTGCCATTGCCTTCTTCTGGGTGTGAATGGAGTAATTGTTGGGATGCCACAGAGAAACCGGGGAAGTTTTATTTATTTAGTGTTCTGTCTGACTACAGGTCCATATGAACAGGATCCTTCCCTCCTTTTCTCGGCCTGGGACCTGTTCATATACGTTCTTGGCAGATATCCAGAAGTGGTTTGCCATTGCCTTTTTTTGTGTGTGAATGGAGTAATTGTTGGGATGCCATGGAGGAAAACTCCGTGTTGCCTAGACCACGGCCTTGCCCAACACAAGTTATAAATTCGGGCACCGCCGGGAATCGAACCCGAGACCCCAGGATTACAAGGCCAGCGTTCTAACCGCTAGACCACCGTGGCTAAAAATCATCTAAATATAGTTGGACGCATTTGAAAGCTTAATGACAAATAAACACAGAAAATCTAATAAACAATTTTTGTGCAAATTTGCCTGATAAGTTTGAATGGCCTTGAATGAAAGTAATTAGTTCATGCATATTCATTCTGTGCTGCTATTAATTTTCTTAAAATCATTAGTGTTATCATACTTTTTATCTATGACGTACTGATAATGAAAAATGTGACACCTTCGCATTAGTCACTGCCTGGCTCTGACTTGAGCGACCGAGTCTTCATGCTTTTAATATTATTATGTGAAAACCGTCAAAATGTTGAAAACTTTCTTTAATACGTAGGATTTTAGGTTTTCACGACAGTGAGTCTGAAGATGGCTGTCTTCTAGGTTGTTGCGCCGTGTAGTCTGGTAGAAGTAGGTCCTTGCCGCCTCCAACATCACTTATCTCCTGGACCAACTTATTTCAGGTTTTAAATAAACACTAATGTTTGTTCAGTGATAAGAACACTAACAAAAAAAAAAGGTATCTCTGCTGGATTGAGAATAAGACCTTCCATCATATACAAATGTGAAATCTATTAACTCTGTACTGTCAATCAGTTGTAGTAACATTCAAAACTTAAATTAAATTAAATCCGTGGCGTAACAGCTCCAGAGAGCCTAAGCCGACTAGCCTGACTGCTGGCCCCACGTTCACATGCCTAAGCAGAGGTGAACGATCATCCAACCAGATACTGTATAGGGTGACGTGTGGTCAGCACGACGAACCCCCAGCCATTGCTAGCTTTCCTGACCGGATTACGCTACTCATTGTAGCTCCCCAATTTCCTCACGATGCTGGGTTGGCACAGGTCCCATTCACGGTCGAAAGTTCATGAGAACATTTTTTCTCCCCCGAGACTCAAACCAGCGCGTATTCTGTATCGCTGGTCCGAAGCATGATGCCTCAGACCGCGCTGCTACGGCGCGGGACTGTAGTAACATTCACTGCCTTGAAATATTAGTGATTCTTTTATTCTTGCAAGTAATAAAAAATAGTTTCAAATGAAGCACATGAAACATGTCAAGATTATTTGAAGCGATAAGGAACAGGAAATGAATAACTGATATTTCTCAAAAAACATGAAACTGTTCATGAATCTTCAGGAAACCCCAGGAAATACATTCATGGTATCAGGAAATAAATATAAAAATTTTATGTTTACAAAACAATTTAATTGTCGTATGACGTGAAGCGTTCACGGCGACTACATATAATAAAATCTTCTCTGGCCACAAACTGTGCAAGGTGGTTTAACGGAGAAAACGCCAACGTTTCGAGAACCATCTTCATTCTCGTCCTCAGGGTACTGACAGTAATGTATTATAATGATAACATTATTTCAGACAAACAATAAATGGGAAGTGCGTATGTTCAAAATCACAAACAAGTTCAGTAGCTCCACTTACTACATAGATCATTACCCTTAGATCATAATTTTGTGATTTAACACATACAAGAATGAAAAATTATACTTTGAGAATGACTATGAAGATTCCACATGGAAAACCTCATGAAGATTATACACTGTGAATATTCTTGTGCACGTGTGCGCAAAACGTAAGTCCTTCCATGATGAGGGTGTGTGTGTGGACACGTCCCTGTGCGCGTGTTGTTGAACTTGGAATTATTACACCAAAACATGAGGCAGAGTGTTCATATCCTGCTGGAGCAAATTCTTGTCTCGCAGGCGAGCCTGCAGCAAACTGTGTTCCAACACTCCCACCCTCACATCCATTCCAGTAATCTCGCTCTTGATTTGTGAAATCGCCTTCTTTATATTAACTAGCGGAGCTATGATAAATATAGAAACAGAGCAGTACAGACTTCAAACAAAACTAAAATAAAATAAACATATTTTTATATTTTCCAAATATATTCTTCTGGGTTGTTGCGCTGTGTGAATATATCCATTGCCCTGAAGACAGAGGCAGTGTGACCTCTGAAAGAAGTTCACATATCGCTGATACAAATCCATTTTCCCACCTGGATAAAAGTTCTTCCTATGACACCGTCAGGATAGAAGACAAATGATGATAATTGCTGAACATAATATTTTAAAACCTGGTGAAGCTATCCGAACATCATTACAGGTTTTACATATATAATTTATTGTTATAAAGCTGTACATACTGGGAACGACCCGTTCTTCAAGTGCCTGAGCACTGCGGGTCCCAACTTTTTCGTTGGCTCGATCTATAGACATTTTGGTAGGACTCCTTGGACGAGGGATCGGCCCGTCGCAAGGCCTCTACCTGTACACAGAAAAACGCGGACAGACATCCATGGCTTGAGTGGGATTCGAACCCACGGTCCCAGCGACCGAGCGGCACAAGGCCCACGCCTCGGGCCGCGCGCGCACTGCGGACCCCACAAAGCTGCACATACTATGTACAAATAACTTTCTTCTGAGATGTTGCACCACGTGGTCTCGTGGAAGTTTATCAGACTACACAGCACAACATCCGACAAGATACTTACCTCTACGCTACCCACCAAGAGAACCTGGAATCTCTTATACTGCATTAAAATTAGAAATTATTCTTCATTGTATTTTTTACATACACGATATTAAGAAGTGATTCTAATAAATTTAGAGACCTTAAAATTAAATCTGTGTCTTGTGTCACATACAGATTTCTTTAACAAAAATTAAAAAAGTTTGATTTCAGTTTTATATTTTACCGATAAGAACAAAACATTTTCTTTACTTTTCCTTTTACTAGTTTTAACCGAGATTCAGGTTGCAGAATGGGTTGTACGGCAGATTCCCTTCTGAAAATCGCTTGAAAAATCTGTTTTTTAAATTGGGAAACCAATTTCATTGTAAAGAGTGGGGTATGGAGAACAACTTTCAATTCAATTATTAATGCACATGGCACAGATTTCCTGACAACAGAAGTGTCCCCGCTCACAGAAACATGACTGTAGTGAAGAAAACATATTTTAGGCGACTTACTTCCGTCTGTCATGCTAGAACCTCTTTCATCCATCTCCTGCTTCACGGACTCCAACTCCTCGGTAACCCGAGCCAAAATACGTGATCTCTCCTTAACGCCGCCACTCACTTCACGGCACTGCTCATTCACTCGTGCAAATTCGTCCTGTGCAGAATAAGCGAAGCTCGTTACGTCTTATTTATTTTGCGACGTCTTAAAGGGAAGGCAACTCCTACTACGCAATTCACCTTCTTACATCAACGATGAACAAGTCATTATTTTCAATTTTTGACGTAATTACGTCTATATGGAAGGGTCAGTGTCATTCCGCAAAAAAGTGTAA